CGTGCGGGTGGCAGCCACTCGATGTGCCCCTTCACGTCGATGTTTCTCTCTCTCTCTCCCTTCCTCTCTCTCCCTCTCACTCTATCTGTAACAAAAAATGGAAAAATATCCTCGGGTGAGGATAAAATAAAAATAAATAAATAAAAAAAAAAGAATAAGAACCTGCAAGTATTGGGTCTCCAGAGTGTTCCCTCCTCGTCATATGTTATGTGCATTAATCTACTCCATACAACAATCTTTTGGAGTAGGTACTACTATTTTTTCCCAGTTTAAAGATGTGGAAATTAAGGCCCGGAGAGAATAAATAACTTGCTCGAGATCACCTAGTAAACAGTGGTTCTGCTAAAGAGAGTGTGCGTTTAATCACCATGCTGCGTTGCCTCTCAGAGCAACGTGCAAACCTTAGTTTTCCAACTTCGTTCTTCAGTCCTTATATTAACCACTACCTGCTTCACCTACTATAAGGATTTTTCAAGGTGGATTACTGAGATAAGTATCAGAATCATGTATAGTGACACACACAAAAAAGTACCACGTATGCTTATTACATAGTATTTGAATGACTTCTACTATGGCGGCCATGTGTAAGGTATCATTCCTTTCTGCTAATTAGGGAGGAAGCCATGGGCATTACTGTGGGATGCAGATGGTGTATTTACATACTGTAAAATATGCTGAAGTTCTCCAATTGGCAATACTGATCATTTACAGTTTAAAAAATGACACTTAGTGGAGGTGGCTCTGAAGTAGGGTAAAACATTTTCTTGAGTTAAAAAACACAGAGAAGCAAATAAAAGAGGAGAGTAAGAAGAGGATGTTTTGCATTATTTCTTGCTTATTATACTTCATCACTTAAAAGTTAATTCAAAATACATCCTTATCTCTCTCAATATTTATTAGAAATGCACAGTTCATGTTATTATTATTAATATGGAACTTCTGTTTAATAAATCTGTACATTTCATCATAGGCATGAATTTTGTGCATTAGCATGATCCTTGTGTTCATGAATCCAAAGTCTCCTGAGGAATTAAAAACCAACTTCAATTTAAAAATAGTAAAATCATTTTCATATACTAAACATGTTTATTTCCAATCAGCAACATTTGTTCTATTGATTAAAGTTAAAAGTAGCATTTAGAAAATATATTACTTCCATGCAATTTTGTTTTCCCAATTATATATATTTTTAACAATTTAAGTAAAAACTTTTTTTTTCATTGCATACTTACCCATATTTGTCTGCATTCTGTGTTGTTTGGAAGGCTTTATTATGGATGGAAATTGAAGGGCACCAAAGCTGGGCAGTTGTAGGATATTTTTCAAGCAATAGCATCTGGTTTCTTGGCAGTCATCATGGGCCAAGGCAAAGCAGCCCTGGCATATCTCCAGATTTTCCTGTGGGTATTGCTGAGGGATTTCCAGGTCTGCCATGTTGTTGTAATTGTGTTTCCTAGAGACCCAGAAACTCAGACTGGAATTCAAAGTCCGTTAGGTAGTACATAAGGTCTGCATGATCTGGCCCCTTGCTATCTTTTTGCCACCTGACCTGTTAGCTTTTGCCCAGCGCACTCTACTCCAGCCACACTGGCCCCTTGGCTGTTCCTCAGAAATTTGGAGCACAGCCCCGCCTTTGCCTCAGGACTCTCACCTGTCTTTGTCTCTGCCTGGGATGCTATTCCCAGACAAAGACATGGTTTACTGCCTCACATCTTCCAGGTCTCTAATGTCCCCTTCTTTTCATTTTCCCGATTTCCTCTATCTCTAAAAATCCCCTCTCCCCCATATTCATATACCTGGTCATTTTATAGTTCATAGTACATACCACCACCAGCATTACATATCTATGTGCTGATTTATTTGTCCTCTGTTCCCCATTCTCTTCCCCCAAGTTATCCAACTGCTCATTTCTCTTTTCCCAAAGGGTACCTGGCCCATAGTGGCCATGCAATAAATAATTTGTCAATGAACTTAAATCAGAATTCACCTTTTGGTTACATGGTAACAATGCTTTTAAATATTGGGAACCAGACATATATTCATGCATTAAAAGTAATTGAACTCAGCACATGTACTCAAATATGTATATCCATTGAAAAGGTCCCTGTGGCTTAGTTGATGGGAAATCATGCTCAGATCTCAAATCCAACTTCCAGACTCATTGATGAGTTTGTATATCTTATTGATAGAGCCAAGATGCACTTGTTTGAAGCTTCCCTGCTGAGCTGCGGCTCTGTGACAGAGCTAACGGGGTGTGACACATGCTGCGCCGCTTGGAGCCCATTCAGAGAGCGGGGCTTCTGCAGCGCTGCCTGCCCAGCTCTTGGAAGGAGAAGGAAAACAGTCAGATTTACTCCCTTAAGGCCGTTTCCCCACTGCCCTCATTATTAATTCTTCTGATAATCTTGCTTCAAGAACCAAATTACCAATTGTTTCAATGACTAAACTTTTTTGTCTATAAATAAAGCCTTATGTATTTGTATATTTTATTTAGCACCCTTCAAAAAAAGATATCTGGGCCCAGCCGGCGTGGCTCAGTGGTTGAGCATGGACCCATGCACTAAGAGGTCGCCAGTTTGATTCCCAGTCAGGGCACATGCCCCGGTTGTGTACACGATCCCCAGTGGGGGGCATGCAGAAGGCGGCCAGTCAGTGTTCTCTCTCATCTATGTTTCTATCTCTCTCTCCCTCTCCCTTTCTCTCTCTCTCAAATCAATAAAGAAAAAAATGAATTTAAAAAAATATTTGGAAGAAGCAGAGGATTGAATTTTCTTGTTAAAACTATTGGGGGTTGCGGTGTTTATTCTTAGTGACTTGCACTGTGCATCTATGTTCTGTAAGGAAAAGCTCTCATGAATGCATTCCAATATAACTGGTGCAGTCCAAGAATGGATTCTAACTCCTTTCTTTTTTTATATAGCAGACTATTAGGTGCTCAGTTACCTGATGGATGCCATGTTTTTCTGAAATTCTCTTCATGTGAGGGTAGGACCTTTGACCTGAGCCTCTCTCCTATTCTTCTCTTTCTCTCTCTCCCTCTTTTTACAACTTCTCCTCTCCTCCACACTCCACATGCTTCCTCCATCCCCCCATGCCATTAGCACGAGTTATGTCAGAGGAGCAAGCTACTTCGTGCTTGGGAAAATAGGCAAGAGGATCTCTAGCCAGGAAAACTCCTTTTTCAATTCATTTTTCTTGAGCCTGCTGCAGGGGACAGTGAAATGAATTAAACAGGCCCTGGCTCTCCATGTCCAGTGCTTGTCCTGTGTTCCCTTTGTGGTTGTGGAAAGACAACTGGCAGAAATCTCCAAGGGGACGAACTAGGTGTGCTCTCCCCTGAGACACATCTCTGTCCCTTTATGTGTATTTGCATAAACTTTAATTTTAAAAAACTGAAAACACCTTAACATGATTATAATTACCTTAACCTAATTACTATGGTTGCATTTTAAAATGTGTACATTTTAAAACAAATATTAAAATAAAATTCTAAATGTAAATCATTCTTGGGTGCCCAATGATTACTTTTCAAGTACATGTCTGTTAAAATTCTCTTTTAAATGCTAGGGTAGAAAAACATCTTTTTTTTTTGCAGTTTAACCCCAAAATTCTGATAAAATGTACAAATTCTGTTTGCTTCACTTTCCGAAGAGAACAGAAGACAGGGATGAATGAGTCCCTGTGAACACTGGACGGGAAATAGGGAACCTGGGTTCTAGCTGTCTTTCTTCCTATTGCTCACCAGCTGGTTTCTTATGCAGATCACTTTTTCCCCCTCCAGGCTTGAGTTTCTTCTCCTGTAAAGCAAAAGGATTGGATTAGATAATGTTTGCAATTCTTTCTCCTGCTGACCTTGTGTTATCTGGTCCTTCTGGCAAGGAAATGCCTAGAGGTTCAAGGAGACAGAAACAAAGAAAGGTGACCCCCATCTCTGGGGTTCCTTTCGAAGAGGATGTGAGGAAAGGTATACTAAGAAAAGGTGTGGGCAGAAATGAGAGTAATTTCAAGCAGATAGAGACAAGAATGAAAAAGAAGGGTTTTAATGGTTCGAGTTAACAGAGCATCTGTTAAATGTCAGGTATTATGTCAGGTGCTAGAGACAAAAAATCAAATAAGAGTCAGCCCTCACCTTAAGGAACTTGTAATTTGGTGGTATAGAAAGACATGATAAAAATTTTTGTAAGTATACAGAGATAGAGGGTGTGATATGGTGGGAACACAAAGAAAGCAATGGTCAGATAAGGCTTTAAGGAGAAAGTGATTTTGAGTTGAGACTCAAAAGATGAATAGAATTATGACAAAGAACAGGGATTAATAGGAAAGGAGAAATAACATGGCAATAGAAAAATATGCAGGAGGGGCAAGGAGATTGACTTGGAAGTTAACCCAATACATGAGAGGTGGGTGTGGTAGTTCTTCCCCTATTCCTTCTCCCATCTCCTATTTCTTTGCTGTCAAATATATTTTTTAAAAAAATCCTCACCCAAGGATATTTTTTCATTTATCTTCAGATAGAGTGTAAGGGAGAGAGAGAGAGACATCGACGTGAGAGAGACGCATCGGCTAGTCCTCCCGCACGACCCAGACCAAGGCCGGGGACTGAACCACAACCGAGGCACGTGTTGGTCCGGAATTGAACCCACAACTCTTTGGTCCACGGGCTGACGCTCTAACCACTCAGCCAAACTGGCCAGGGCTTCACTTTCGAATATTAAGGGCACAGCTAAACAAGTACCTTCTATGCTGAAAACAAGGACTGCGGTTCTTTCCTTCCATAAAACCACAGCTATATTTCCTGGATCATTTTGTTGACATTGGAGGTTTATGAGAAGTAAAAGTATTTGTGATCTTTCAAATTATTTTTAAGCTCTCTCCCCCAGTCTCTCCTTCAGTCTTTAATGACTTGTTACTGACACACTTTCTTCCCTGTGCTGAACAAGCACTAAATCAGGCTGCTTAATTACCTCTGTCTCCATCCCACCTTCTCGCAGCCCAGCTCGTCGAGCTTTGTAGCACGCCTTGCCTGGTAGGCAGAGGAATGGTTATCTGCATTGTTTTGAGAAGGTAACAAACCCCAAGACATCTCTGGAGAACTGAGCCAGGCTTGGGGCTTAGTGTTAGGCAGCATCAATCAAGTAAATAATGACATTTCCTTAAGAGTGTGCGCCCCCCTCAACCCTACCCTGCTTGTTTTTTTTAAGTGAAGTTCCCCTGAGTACAGTCTGGTACACAAGAGCAGAATTAACCTATGCTAGACCTGGGGTTCCCAGACATTGTGTGGAACCCCAGCAAATGGGTTGAATATGAGAGTTGAAATCTTTCAGTAGTGTCTGCGAATTTCTTATAGAATGGCATTTTCTCTTCCTTTTCTTATTATCCTTCAATAGGCAAGTTGCATTTGAGGGAGATATTTTTGTTCTTTCTCTCTGGGCCAGATTCTGACAGGCCACTTAAAAATGCCCTTTCTAATTGAAATGACAAAACACAGGAGAATTTACTCCAAAGAGAATCCCGTGTGTGAAGTGCGCCTGCTTTCTTACTGTTGGTTGCCGTGTACTGGAGCATACTGGTGCACACAAAGCCCGTCAGCTTTCACTGTCAGCATTCTTTCCGTCAAGTTCTGCCATTTCTGCCCGTGCCCTGCATTGTTCTTTTTACCTCATCAGCCTATGGAACGTGTCACTAAGGTATTTCAGGTGTCTTCTATTATGGCTTAGAGATGGTTGGAGAAGGGAGTTGTTTAGATCAAAATGATGCCTCTTGCTCCTTCCAGGTAACTGGTGGTCTTCGTCTGAGGATACTGAACTGCCATTTTAGAGAAAGTAGCTGTAAGACATCTGGAAATATAGTTTGCTACTTGAGAGCTCAGAACAGCAGCAAATGCAGAATCTGTCTTCTTCTTGGACAATGATCCTTGTCTTGTGGTGAGGGACAGGAAACAGGTTTCATCGTGATTCACTGTATAGCTTATTTAAAATAATGTCATTTTAACATACAAAAGCAGAAAGTGCATGGACTGCAAAGTGACACTGACTCTAAAATGGATAATATTTCCTATTTTATATAATTTTTTTTAAAGATTAAATAATAAATGTAAAATACCTAGCATAGCAACTGAGTTAGTGCTCAGTGTGTTTGTTGAATTAACACATGAATGAATGGGGGTGATGTTTGGGTGACTGCATGACTGGTTATGTGGTTACGTGAAAACCCCGTGATGATTATGAGAAGAAAAGGCCTCACACCTTTTTCTTCTGTGGCATTCTCCACTGGAGATCTTGTGTGATTTTACTATAGAAAGTGGGTATGAAATATATAATATATATTGGTGAAGATCAGATACATTGTGACACCACCCGTTATAATTTGACATGCATTTGGCTATTTTGGGGGCAAAGCATGCCTCCCTTTCCAAATGCAACAGTGTTATAAAATGACTCCGACACCATACATTTCTTAGGTCCTGGCCGTAGACCAGTGTGCGTACTCGAAGACATGCAAGGATTTTGCCATAAGGCTGAGTTTGGTTGGTAAGATTGACTGTTTTTTTGTTTTGTTTTGTTTTGTTTTTTATCCTCACCCGAGGACATTTTTCCATTTTTTGTTCAGGTAGAGTGGAGGGAGAGAGAGGAACAGAGAGAGAGAGAGAAACATCAATGTGAAAGGAACACATCGAGTGGCTGCCACCCGCACAACCGACCAGGGCCGGGGACAAACTGCAACCGAGGCACATGCCCTTATCGGGAACCGAACCTGGGTCTCTCTGGACAGCAGGCCGACGCTCCAACCGCTGAGCCAAACTGGCCAGAGCAAGAGCGACTGTTTTGTGTTGAACCTAAGCAGGCTTAGTTATTAAAGTGTCACTGGGATCCAAATGCAAGATAGGTTTTCCCCTAAGGCTAGTCTCAGGACACGGAACTCTAGAGACACTATTGGAGGTATATATTTTTGGATTTGTGAGATCTTCATAGGACACTCTTAATCAAATTTATTTAAAAGAGTGGTCAATGAGTTAGTGGTAAACCATAGAAAAGCTTCCTTGTGTCTTGGTTTTAGTTCATTCCTCTTTGTAGGAACTTCTGTTTGGGGGATAAGGTCCGAAAGTGTCGACGTGGCTGAAAGACCCTTCTCTCTGGCCTCTTCTCACGCTCTGGACAGTCACTCAGCCGTCTTGCCATGGTGGCCTTTCCAAAGTTCCCCAAAACATTGCCTTCTCTTCTACCCCAGAGCCATTCTTTCTAAGATGTTCTTCATCAACCTTTTCACCTGGATAATTCTTACTTAAAATGTTACTTCCTGCGAGAAGCTATTCTGATCCCCCAGACTATGCTAAATACCCTTGTGAGATGGTCTCTTGACATTCTGTACTTTTTCTTTCTCAGCACTTACTTATCTTACCATATTTTATAGTCTAAGCATTTATTTAATATGTTTCTTTTTCTAGCTCCATTAAGGTAGAGATTGTTTCTGAGTAGCTTGTTGGTGTGCCTCTAGTTTTTAGCACAGTGTTTAGTTAATAGTAAGTATTTCATAAAGATCTGTCATTGAACAAATTCATCAAAGCTGCAAATGTGCTTGAAAGGTGCAAAGGTTGGTTCATCATATACCCATTTGTACTTTTAATGATAACACTGGAGTGCAGGCTAGTGCTGAGCAGTTACATGATCTCAGGCAAGCCCCTTTTATTCTCTAGACCTGAGCTCATCAGTGGCATGAGGAGGTCAGACCAGACAAAATGACTTGGTAAGGCCCTTTCAGTTCTGGGTGCCAAGTATGGCAGTGTTGAGCTTCCTGAACTTTTAATGCTGACTACTTTATTAAAACTGAACTCATAAAATAGGAAAAATATTTTTAGCCACAGAATAGTAAAAGCATTTCTGAAAGTGCTCCTATAAAATGTGAATGACTTTATACTAGGCTCATTTGAACATTGTATGCACTGTATTTATTTTCTATATCTTGGATAAAAAAATAACAGATCAGTATCCTGAACAACCACTGAACATTTTTGAAAATCAAAATGTAATAATGTGTATTTACGAAAACACTCTTCACCAAAGTTTAGATGTTTATGGGATTTGGGCTAAGCCTGTTGGGAGCTTTACTACGTTGTTGATTTTTTTTAAAGCCTCAGCTGGGCCTGGAAATGAATGTTCATCATTATCATCACTATGACCGTGAACTGTGATCTGAGAGTCCTACATGTTGTAAACTCTTACGTGATAGTTATCAGAGTTTAACCTTCTCCCTATTTAAACCATTGGTCTGTAAAGAAGCTATCTAACGAAAACTATTTATTTCAATAACGAATATTTTACCTTCTTTCAAAAAAGGACATAATAGCATCTAGAGAAACTTTAAATTTATAAGTAACTAGACTGAGAAGAAAAGTTGGTACTACTCCATGGTTACTGCTCAACAGTTAATTTGTGTTGTAAAAGTGTGACAGGTCAGTGAAGCTAGCAGCTATCTAGTCAGCTTCTTGACATGACTTCAAATGAATCATTTCTTGTGAAACAATGTAATTATATTTGCACTGAATTTGTTTTCCTTTTTTTTAAATTTAACATCATAAAATTATTCATTATATACATAGTGAATATAATCCTATACCACTTCTGTTGTCTCGTTTATAGAGAGATAATATCTCTCCTTTGTAACATCCAGTGGTTTTAGATACTGTATGTATCTAATTCAGAATATATTGATTTGTTATCTTTTATTTGCAAGGCATTGTTCTTGATGCTCAATAAGTGTATAATGTATCAAAGACAATGAGACATAACGTGCATCACTAAAGATTACAAAATGCAATAAGCGTCACAAGGAAGGGGCGAGTCAGATGCTCAGGGTCTGTATCTTACATCTCCTGCAAGCTATAGGCTTGTTCCAAGACTTTGAATCCTCCTTAGTGCCTAACACAGAGCCTTGCATATAAAACATATTCAATTATTGTTAGCTTAGAAGGTGAGCTGTGAAACTGTTTTCCAAACCTGTATTTATTTAACAAATGGGATTCTTTTTATCCAAGTCGAACCTAAAGTCTTCAGTCTGAAAAGCAAGATACTTATATCTAAAATCACATATTTTGTTAACCAGAATGTAAAAATTTTACTTTCATAAGTTCCTCTATCTTTACACTTCCTGATTTTTATTTCAAGGCGCATTGTACTGAATCATACCTGATAACCTACTGTTCAGTTTACCCAGATCTGTAAGTTATGTGGAATGTGACAATACTTTGTGCCTCTACTATGTTATAATCACAATTCTCAATGAACTCCGAGGAATCACAGCTCTGAGGAATCTCAGACTTTATGGGGTCTTGCCTCTCTTTGGTGCAATCCTCTAGAAAGAGATATAAAATAAATGATTATCAAAGCTTTAGAGAATGCAATGAACACTACTTTATTTCTAAAACGCAACTCCATTGTTCAGTCAATCTGAAGGATTTCTGAATGTAGTCAGCCTTTTAAAAAGCGGATCTGTCTCCAAAGATTTGTTTTCCTGCTTTTTACACTTGCTGAAAGTTCCCTGAAGGATTTCGAGGTTGAATAAAATTGACTTTCTTCTGATCTTGTGAATTATTGAGGTCAAATGAAGGCATATACGATGGCTAGGGACTCTTGCCTCTCTAAGATTTCACGACTCCTTAATACTCAAGAGTAGAGCGTGCTGGTCATGATACCAGCTACTGTACAGTCAACACATTTGCATTCTCCACCATCTCTACTCTTCAGTACAAAACTTTTCTTCACTGGCTTCATCCAAGCAGACTTTTTCAGGGGCTTCACTTGCCCCCCTTTTGAAGATACCTGGCTGAGTGTCAAAGGAGAAGGATACAACCCAGTAAAAAGGAAACAAAAGAGCCAGCCCCCTTGACTCCCCGAAGTTTTAGCAGTTTGACTGATTCTTTCTTGTGAATTTTTCTTGCCACTGAGTCATTGCACACACAGAATTATGAAACTTTAATTTCTTTAGAGGCTTGTTATATTAGAAAAATTGTTCCAAAGAAAGCAACAATCATGACATAAGCACATCTGGCTCTGGCAAATTATCCTTTATTAAGCTTTCATTTAATTACATGTGCTGAAAGGTCTGTTTTTGATTACTGTAATTTTTTTTATTTGTCCATCTGAATGATAGTGATGTTGGAAATTACAGACAAACCACCTGTTTTTTCTCCCCTACTAATGTGGCAAAGTTTGAGCTAGTTTCTCTGTGGTGGATGAAACTAGGAAGCTTTCTGTTTATTATGATAGAAATAGGCCTATCGAGGTAATGGCTTAATCTTGATGATAAGAAGAAAATATTTGAATGGTGTTTTCAAGCATTAAATAGTATTAAGACTGAGGTGTATTGATTCTGGTCAACTAGCAGATCTACTTGTTTATGTATCACCTTTTCACCCAAAACCTAATAAATCAACAGTTAAGTCTTTAACATCTCGCACTATGAGAAAGAAGCTTGGTTTTTATTTTAGTATTATTTTTATCACAAATCTGCCTGTATTCTCTTGAGGATTATATTAGCTGTTGCCTAGAAATAAGACCCTGAGGAATGAGTGACTTCCATGGGCCTTGGGGATCTCGAAGGGAGCACTTTCTCCTTCAAAGGGACCAGCATTCCCAGAAAAGCATGGTCGTTGCTGAATAACAGTGTTCTTGCAAGAATCCCTAGGAAAGTTCAGAGCAGTTTCTTAGTTCATGAGTAGTAAAATGACAAGAATGGACATTTTAAAGAACTTTCCATAAAGATTTTAGGCACTAGAAAGACTCCTCGAAATAATTTAGTCAAATTCTTATTTGTACAAATGCAGAGACTGAGTTCTAGAGCAATCAAATCCTCTGTTTAGAGTCATAAAGTTATTTCTGGGAGGACGAGGGACAGGACAATGACTCCAGGACTCATTTTTTTTTCTGTTACCTTATTTGGTCTCTCTTATTTTCCTCTTTAAAAACTAGTGAAAAAGAAATTGCAAGGCTGTCAGAATAGTTCCCTAACAATACGGTAAGTTTTTCTGAAACTCCATTTCAGCTGCATTTAAAGAGATAATGTTTGTCTTCCCTGTTTTGCAGCAGCTCTATGCCGCTCAGCTGGCCAGCATGCAGGTGTCACCTGGAGCAAAGATGCCATCCACTCCACAGCCACCAAACACAGCAGGGGCAGTCTCACCTACTGGGATAAAAAATGAAAAGAGAGGGACCAGCCCTGTAACTCAAGTTAAGGTACTTGCTTTGCAGGATTGTGGAAACCGTTTGGAAAATAGCTTCACAAGAAAGGTAGTGAACCAGGCTGTGCTGGGAGTAAACAGCAGGAAGCATAGCAACATAAAGGATCCCCCAAATGCTCCTCTTTATGGTAAATTTCATGATTGAGCACTGAGAAACAGGTGTTTCCCGTTTGATAACAATAGTGCCATATTGTGAGATCTTTACCTAAATCTGCAAACTCACTTCTCAGGAGTTTTTCCCCTTTGCATTCTAGCTTTTATTTTTTAATGTTCATTGGCATGAATGGCCATGGCTTTATTACCAGTGTTTGTCATAGACTTGTGACATTTCTCTCTAAGTTTCTTAAACAGGTGGGGAGCCAACTTATAGTACCAGAGGAGGAGGATCTCCAAACTTTAGATTTAAAAAAAGGAACAAAAGAGAGCCTAATGCTGGGCTTTATGTGGTTTGTTGCTCAAGGTCTCCCCTTCAAAAATTGTTAGAAAGATGGGCTCTGAGGAATGAGTGGTATTATTGCATAATTATACTTGGATGCCGTCGAGGTTGTGATAAGATGAACAGGCTCTCCCAGGTGATGGCTAGGACATTAATAGATGCCTTTTCTCACTGATTTTCAGGGCCTTAGAATGGGGCAGCGGGAGGTACTTGGCGACTAAGGGAAATTGGTGATCCATTCCAACTTTGTGCTGCAGCTGGTACCGATAGGTGGTACTGGTTGGTTTTTATGATTGCCTTTCCTTCCTATATTGAATTAACAAATTCAAACAGTTCAGAAAAACAATTGTTTTGTATGATTGACTTATCTCCTTCGAGCGGTATGCTAAGCACAGATGTGTTATTGCAATGTGCCCAAAGTACTGCATTAGGAAAAAAATTGCAATTAATTCTTCACATGGAAAATATCCAAAGCCCAACAAAACAGCACCGAATGCTACAAAGTTACTGAAATTGTTTTATTTTCTAATATTTGCTGATAGACATTTTGAGGTTTCAAAAAAGACTTAAAAAAAAAATTGGTCCCAACTGTCAAAGATAAGTAAACATCATTAAGAGATAATTCTTCCGGTGCTCCACCCAAAGAAATTCACTTAATGCTACCATGCTCTTAGGTTCTCCAGAGAAATAGATGGCCATTTATGCTCTGCTATCAGAAGTACTGAGATATGACAATACGCTGTTTACGTTCGCTAAGATAGCATAACTATGGTAACAGACATTTTTGTGTTCCAAGAGTTTCTATTTGTGACTAAGAGCCAGAACACTACAAGTTAAACCAAGACACTTTGTTTAATTATAGTTGTTAAAGTATGAGTATATCAAACATCAGACATCAGTGACTTGAGGTATTGAGTATTAGCTATTTTAACATGAAAAAGTCATTTTATAAGTGAGTTGGCCAAATGGAACTGCCCCAAACCAAGCCTTTACTGGATGAGTAAAATGTTCCCTGGTTAAATTTAAGTTTATATCTGCTTTTACCATTCCAGCTTTGTGGGCCAACTGAATTTTATTACTCACTTGACCACATGCAAATTCTTAGGGAGTTCTCTATATAATTTGGCCTGACTATAGTTTATGTTAATAACAAAGGAAGCATTCCTTATATGTATTAGATTGTTTATTGTATGTGTGGGTAAAAATATATAGACAAAGACATAAAACAACTGTTTTAAATTTTAAAAATAGCTTCCATCTATTATTGAAAAAGTTCTAAGAACAATCTTGTAATTTTCTAATTGAAAGAATTATGGTCACTAAAATGTCTCATGTATCTGTCTATAGTCATTGCTTTCCCAGTGTATATAACATGTCCACATCACAAAGGCATAGTTTGCTGAAGGTAACAGAAATAAACCCAAATGGTTTTATGTACCTTCTTTCCCCCAGAATTTTTATTACTGTAATTGTCAGCATCAGAAATCAGAATACTTCTGTTCAAATGTCACTTCTACCATTTTTAACCAGCCATGTCATGTTGGGCAAGTTTCTTAAACCTTTTTCAGCCTTTATTATTTCCTCTGTAAAATGCAAGTTAACGTTATTATGGGTCTTAAATGAGAGAACACATCTTCTAGCATACAGTGAGTATTCCAGCATGTTAACAAAGTGTTGATGAGGGTGATGAGGATGATCTGATGGTAATAAAGAAGATAATGGTGGTGGTAGTGGTAGTAGGGCTTGTAATTGAAATATTTAGTTGTATACTGAGAGAGATCCTAGCAAACTACCTGGAGGATTACCATTTTCAACCATGATGGGAGAAAGGGACCAGATTTACTCTCCCAGCTTAAACAACTAAAACTCAGGACAAAATAGATAAAACAGTGTTTTTCAGATGAGATGTTTGCAGTAGGAATATAGGACAGTGGTCCCCAGCTAAGAAGAAACAAATGAGGGAGGCACTGTCGTTGTTTCAGCTTACTGTCTAGAGGGCATTTCCAGGCAGCAGTGCAGGGAGGGATACACATGGAGTTTGGCAGCGCCCCTGAGTAAAGAGATAGAGGTCAGAGTTTAGGATGCTAGGGTAGGTGGGATCTGTGAGGCAGAGTACCAGGGAGGACAGAGATGTACACAGAGTGTGCACTAAAGATCTACAGAAAGGTACCCAAATTTTGCTGAGTATTGATTAGCCTTTGCATGTGAGGAAACTCTCTAGCACCAGGGAAGAAGATCAGATTGGCAGACCAAACAGTTGCAAGATTCCCAAAGGACTGAGAATGGTTTGTATTCCCATGAGCCAGAGTTACATGGTGCATCAAGTAGAATCCCCAGAAGGGTATTATTACCTCAGCAGCAGGGCCAAATACCCTTAGGTTAAGAGTGGCTCTGGATCTGCCTAACAAAGCTTAAACGTGTGTCTAGAAGGGATCAAATTATTCTGCATCTCAGAACAAAGTTCACGGATATTTAAAGGAATACACAAACTCTGACACCCAACAATGTAAAATTCACAATGTGTAGCATTCATCCAATAATTACCAGGCTTTTGTAGAAGCTAGAAAATATGGACAATAATAAGGAGAAAACTCAATCAATAGAAACAGACACCCAAATGACACAGATCATATAATTAGTAGATAAGACAGTAAAAACAGCTATTATAAGAGACTTACAAGTATAGTCAACTGAGGAAATAGGCAAATTTGCTCCCTAAAAAAACCCCCACAGAGTTTCTGTCAGGCCAGGGCAGGCTGTGAGGACCCATAGCAGGCCTGGCATGGCAGGAAGGGACATATGTGATTGGGAGCTGATAGGTGCTTCTCATGCCCAGTGGCATTGTTTGTGGAAGTGGCAATAATTAAATTATAAAAATAAATAAATTGGGGTGTATTGAAAGCTGAATAAAGCCAGATGTTGTACACTCCATATGCTCAAGAAGGTAGGGAAAACATGAGAATTGTAAGGCAGGACATGGGAGACTTAAACGGAACGTCTGGAGATGAAAAGTACAGTGTTTGAAATGAAAAGTAGGATGGATTAGTACTGATTGAGAGCAGCAACAAGTCAGACACTCCCGAAGAAAAGAGTAGGGAATTTGACTGCCTCACAATGAAACTATCCAGAATGAAATGCACAGAAAAAAGACAGTGCTGTGGGACATCAAGTGGCCTCATCTGTGCAATGAAACCCCACATGGAGAATGAACAGAACACTATATTTAAGAAGTAAAAGCTGACAATTTTTCAAATTTGAGGAAAACTCTGAGCTCGGATATCTAAGAAGCTCAGTGAACCCCCAAATAAAGAAACATGGAGAAAACTAACTAGATACCTAGCAAATGAATCACTATTATTTAGATATGAATAAAAGGAACTAACTAGTCTAAATATTCTTTGAGTTCAGAGCAAAAGGAAGTAAATTGTAATTAAGTATATTGGATAATTTTGATATTCATAATGTATATAACTGTGTTACCTAAGAACCTATCTTATGTCTAGAATTTAATATGTAAAAGAATACTGCAACATAGATGGGTCTGATTACCCATTTTCTACCATGACAAGAACGAAACTAAACAAAAACAAAAACACTGTAGGACATCACTACATCATCGAATGACTAATTGTCTCTGATAAGTATAGTAGTACAGGGCCTGGGGATTTGGAGTCCAATAAACTAGAATCAAAGTTTGTTCCTCTGTGTATAGCTTTGGACAGCGATTTGATCACTCTTACCCATCTTCCTTTGTAAATTTAGAACAATACTGCCCAACCTCATAGATTTATTGATAGTGAAATAAGCCTAATATGTGTGAGAATGTCTATCACAGTGCGTGGTGCATAATGGCTCCTCTGTTGAATGTTATTTTTATTTTTTTCTACTTCTCCTTCCTCAGTAGTATTTTCTGGCATCCCTTTTTGTTGCCTCTTAGCAGTGACCATTAATATTGGGAGAAACCTTAGAGATCAGCTAGGATCAGGCTCTTTATTTTTTTTTTTCTGCAGATGAAGAAATTGAGCCTCGGAGAGGTCACAGGTTTCCCAAGGGAGAGAGTGTTCTGTTTCCACATTCTACTGTGTGTTTTAAACAGTAACATTAAAAACAAGTTCTCTGTGCCTTCTCAGAAGCAAAACAGGAATTAACATTTGCTGACAATTTTATTTTAGAACACAATAACGCAGATCTTAAATCTGAATATTTAAATGAATATGCTCACATTACAAGTAAGTTTTTGCATGATGGAAATGTTGTTACGGGTATTTTATGGCAGGATAAATGAGACAAAATAAAGTCAAGGAGCATAGCTTTCAAACTTCTGGTTAAACTAGAGTTACAAGCAAGATACTTGAATCCTGTGCTCAGTATAGGACAGGCGTCTTAAAATAGACATTCTGTAAATATATGGAGCAAAGATATAAAGAGACATCACTTTAGACATGAAAAATAAATTGCATATAGCATGGTATGTAAAACATAATTATAATGTGTGCTAGCTCTTTGCAAAAATTAATTTTAAACATGAATAGAGACCAGAATATAGACCATGAAGAGTGCCCACGCCCAGAAAGCCACATAGAAGCCATGCTGTGGCATGCGGCTCCCTGGGCAGGGGCCCAGCAGATCTGAAGAAGGCCTTCATGTTTCCATTTTTAAAGTACTTGCAATTGTTTGATTTAAAATATATATTAAAAAATTAGCTGCAGAGCCTATTTATAGTTCCAGGAACTTTTTAGAGAGAATAACACAAAAGCATGACAGAGCTGCTGAAATTTTAAATAATTCTTTGTAAATGCCCTAGGTTAATTTAGATCTCTGAAAACACATTAGGAAATTAAGCTGTAATGTGAGCTAATTCAGATTTTAATTTGGCAAAAAGAATGATCCAACTACACAGTTAATGTAAATAGAAGCATAACACAGGGAAATTAATGAGGTTTCCTTCTGATGAATCTTCAAGGAGGTAGATAATTAGTTTCTTTTGTTATGATTGTAGGAGAACGTGGCATTGTCTCTGAGGTGTAAAATAACTGTGGCTTACTAAGTGATAATGGGCTTCATTTGTCTTTTTCTTTTTAATAATTATTTATGTTAAACTCTTGTAGGATGAAGCAGCAGCACAGCCGCTGAATCTCTCATCCAGACCCAAGACAGCCGAGCCCGTGAAGTCCCCAACCTCTCCCACCCAGAGCCTCTTCCCAGCCAGCAAAACCAGCCCTGTCAACCTGCCCAACAAAAGCAGCATCCCCAGCCCCATCGGAGGAAGCCTGGGAAGGGGATCCTCTTTAGGTAAATGGAAAGGTCAACACCAGGAAGAGACTTATGAATTAGGTAAAAAAACAAGCCAACCTATTGATTAATGACTGATCCTTGTTTCCAAAGTGTTCCTTAGTCCGGGAGCCGGAGGTGGAGGGTGGGGTATTAAAATCTGTTCTACTGAAACATAACCCAATTTGGTGTCTTTTAATATAACCCAATTAGAACTTTTGGGAAAGGCCATCATGTAAATTCTGCTGGGATGGGAATCGTTAGATGATGATGTGTTCCACCCGGCCAATCAGAAACTTGGGAATGTCTGTCTTTGGACAGTGCTTTGCCAGTACAGTAACTCTGGGCAGAGGGAGTGACCATGAACCCTCCGGGGGCCCAGAGGGACCCTGGCCTCAAAGCTGCCTGCCAAAGTCCCAAATTCCTTTGAAATTTTTTCTTTTTAAAATGTAGGTGAATTATACACCTAGTCTATTTGTTTGTATTAAAACAAATGTAAGTGACACATTTCAATGACATAATTTGAAATAAAAGAATGATCCTCCGGCTTCTGAGACGCGCTGACATACTGCCAGCTCTTTCTAAGAACAACCACGCCCCACAGTGAGGAGGATGGAGGGAAAACCTGGCTTTTGGCATCAGCCAAACCTGAACTAAGAGCCTTTACTTATTAGCTATATAATCCCGGGAAAGATATTTAATCTTTTAAAATTCAGTTTCCTAATCTTCGAAAGGGGGATATTATTGCTTAGCTTGTGGGTTGTTATGAGAATTAAAAGAGAAACACTCATATCAAGTGCCTACTGCGGTGTCTGGCACCTTGAAGGCATGAGGCTGAGAGGCCGGGCCGAAGGAAAGCAGCTCATTTACGTGTGCACGTGGCGCGGAGCAAGGCGTGCGTGCCTGTCAGTAGCTGTGCTGCTCTATTGTTACTCTACACTTCAAGCCTCTTAATTGTCAAGTAAAGACACAGAAATTCAAAGGGATTAGGGACTAGCACTAGCATTTCTTCACCATATTACTTTCCTTGTGTTATTGAGTCCTGGAGCCTGAAATGCTTATTATAGTAAATTAAATAATGGGTACATGCAGCCATGTACAGTGTAACATTTTTGCCTATCTTATCACATTTGATTTTTTCCGCAATTATCTCATGAGTTAGGTAGTGTAGTGTTACCACGCTCAGTGTGTGTAGACGGTGGTTCTCGCGGGTAAAATGACTTGGCCAGAGCTCTGGGGCTGTGCAGTCAGCAGGACCGAGACTGGATCCAGGTCCTCTCACCCGCAACCCGGTGCTCCTTTCGTGACCTCACAGCGGGGGTATCTGCTGAATCTAAGTGTGTCTCTGATGGTGAGAGATTAATCTTCCTCACTGAAATTTGCACATTTGGAACCATATAGAAGCCTGTTCTCATTTTGAGTCAGGATGCCTCTTTCGGGGCCCGGAGATGCTCAACTCCAATCAGTGGTTTTGCTGTGGGAGAACTACATGCGTTCCCGTGTGTGAAGGTGATCACTGGAGTGATGGAAGTTGTGAGATGAGAAAAAAGCCAACATAAGTAAACAATCGATCATGAAACGGCCTTCCTGTAATCAGTCCACAGCCAAGTTTAGTTGGGAAAGCATCGGCTTGCTATATTGAGCATCGTGAGGGACAGAGATGACTGTGTCACAGGCCCTGTTTGTATGAAGATTATACTTCAGCAGAGCATATGTCGTAGATCATGAGCTAGAAATGGGCTGAAGTAATGGCTCTCTGCACTGGACAATAGATTTTTTTTTTCCTGTATCAGAAAAGTTCCAGAGCAAAAGATATGGGTTTCTATATCCTAAAAAGTGACTGACATTTGAAATTTTCCTGTAGATAGCCTTGGGAATATTTTCTAAACTTAAAGGCAGGCACACACACACACACACACACACACACACACACAGTCACATACCAGGATGCAAACAACTGGATGTGAAATCAATCAGCAAGCAATTGTTTTCTTTTTCTCTAGGACTGGAAAAACCTATCTAAAGTATTAATGTTAGCATATAGTATAATGCAAGAAGTGAAGGAAAATTAGTCAGTTTAATTTTGAATTTTCCCCCACTGTGTTGCATGGAACATAATGAAAGTAAATATTTATTGTCACTTTATTTGAAGCTTTGTACTTACGTGGAAACCATCCCCACTCATACAGCCTCGCCGTCAGGCAGGCGGGAAGCTGAGAGCCGTGGGTGTTCGGGGTGGGGGCAGGGTAAGGGTTGTCATTCTCCTGGTAAATACTGAGGCAGCGTGATGAGTAGAATGCTTCATTAACCAGCCAGTGACTGGGGAAAGGAGAGTGTGGTGTGTTCCTTCCCGCCCCCTCTCCTGCAGTGGATATGTGAATACACAGATACAGATGTCACTAAAGTACACATGTAGCCTTGCAGAGTTTTTTCTGCTAGGCCAGAAACAGCTTTTCTAAATTGGCGCGCCAAATATAATGAGCAGCCTGAACAGATATCTCTGTTCCCCTCCCCACCCCCTGCTCTCCCGCGACTGTCCCACTAATTGTTAGCTACAGCAAGAACAGATAAATAAATACACACGATTGGAATCCAGGAACCTTCATGTGTGAGGTGGGTAGACAGCCCAGATAAACTGGAGTGCTTGGGTATCTTCCAAGAGCTAAAAAACAAAGCAAAACAAAACAGAAAACCAAGTCCAACAACAACAAAACGGCACAGCGTCTTTGCCTGGCTTTCCGGGCCCTGTGCACACAGTGCGGGTTTCTTAGCGGCAATGCCCTTCCTTGCCTGGGGGATGCGGGTTCTACACGGGAGCCCAGAGCAGCACTTCGGAAGGACTGTCACCTCACAAGCCTCTGATAATGTACCCTGTGTGTGCAGATATCCTGTCCAGTCTCAACTCCCCCGCCCTGTTTGGGGATCAGGACACCGTGATGAAAGCCATTCAGGAGGCTCGGAAGATGCGAGAGCAGATCCAGCGGGAGCAACAGCAGCAGCAGCCACATGGTGTTGACGGGAAACTGTCCTCCATGAATAACATGGGGCTAAACAACTGCAGGAGTGAAAAGGTAAACCGTGCTTCCCTCCCTCACGCCCCGCTGGCTCCTTCTCATCCGGCTCTGTCCCAGCTCGCACGCACCTACCCGCAGCCAGAGATGTGCGCCTCTCGCTCCAGGGGCCTTGTAGCACATTAAGTGTTCCTGCTGAGGAACAAACCGCCCTTCCCCACTGGCGTGGGCTGCCTCCCAGGCACCTGACCTGCCTGCCTGCTGGTGTCTCCTGTCCCATTCCAAAAGATTTAGAAAGAACTTATAATAAAGGGGACATGTGAGGTTATTAGAATAAGAATAGAATACCAGAATGTTTAAAACGAAGGAAGAAGCCTATATGGTCATGATGAGAGCTAATAAATTACTATGACTCACCCCTGGATTTCGTACTAAGCTTCCTATCAGCCAGAGCAAAAAATAAAACAAAGCAGCTTACAGAATGCATTTGTTGATAGCTTTTTTGGGTTTTTTTTTTTTTTTTTTTTTTTTTTTGGTTCAACAAATATTTATCAAGTGCTTATTCTATAATAGAGACTGTTTTAGGCAGTGAAGATACAACAGTAAACAAATCACATAAAAATCCCTTCTCTCCTAGAGCTGATATTGTAATAGGGGAACACAGACGGCCACAAAATAAACATTAAATATATAATATAATGTCAGTAATATCAAGAGGTGAATAAATACCATGAGAAAAACAGAAGCAAGTTCAGGGAATGGAGTCATGGGGTTGCTCCTGTAGACAGGGAGGTAAGGACTCTGAGAAAACCACACTGAGCAGAGACACGAATGAAGTCACGGTGCAGATGGGCCAAGAAGAGGTGGGAGACGCGCATCCAGCAGTGGGAACCACATGCGTGAAGCCCCTGAGCGCGTGAGACCACCCAGAAGGCCAGTGTGGCGAGCCCTGTGTGAGAGAAGGGTGGGACAGAGTGGGTTAGGACTTGTCGGTCCTGGACAGACTTTGCAGTTTACTCTGTGATGGGAACCCCTAGACAGATTTTGTCCAGAGCATTGACATGATATGATTTACCTATAGAAAGATCATTCTGTCTAATGTGTGAGAATGGATTGTAGGAGGAATGGAAACAGAGACAGTTACGAGGCTTTTGTAGTACACGAGGCGAAAAACTCTGATTATCGGATGAATGAGTGACCCTTGCCATTCCTGGGCTTATTGCTGCATCACTCCAATTTCTGCCTCCCTCTTCACCTGGTGGTCTTCTGTGTCCTTGTGTCTCCAACTCTCCCACTTCTGAGGACATCAGTCTTTCTAAGGACTCAGGGTCCATCCTAATCCAGGATGAACTTATTTTATGACTTGAATATATCTTTTTGGGGGGCAAAAGTCAATCAATTAGTGTGATACGGAGCCATTGCTTATGTTGAATTAACCTCTCATTCTTGATTGATCTATACACTTTAGTCTCCCCAGGAGATAGCTGGGGTGCAGGGGGCTGGAGAGGGGCTGGAGGGGACGGACCTCTCACAGCACATCTGTGACCAAAGCCCCCACCCAGATTACGAAGCTCAGCTCTGAAAGTGTTAACATCCTAAACCTTAATAAAGAATTCGACTTTACTCTCAGTTCTCATGGCATTGAGTTGCTAAGGTTAACATTAAGTATATGTGTGTGTGTGTATATATGTGTGTGTGTGTATATATGTGTGTGTCTATACACACACACACACTTAATGTTATATGTGTGTATGTGTGTGTGTGTGTGTGTACTATTTAAAATTAATCATTATTGGATGCCTGCCTTGATTGATCCTCTTGGCAGAAGGCTAAGCCATGGACTTGTATATATTTGGTATACTGGGACTTGTCAGGTACATGCCAGTCACTGGATCTCCTCAGTCAGGTGCCTCATTCTCCACTGTGTGCTCCATCCTTGGCAGCAGGCTTACAGGGAAGAGCGCTTCTTGTTTTAAAAAATATGTTTTTATTAATTTTTTAGAGCTAGAAGAAGGCGAAAGGGAGAGAGGGAGAGATAGAAACATTGATGTGACAAAGAAACACCAATTGGTTGCCTCCTGAAAGCCCCCTACTCGGGATTGTGCCTGCAACATGGACATGTATCCTGATGGGGAATCGAACCAGGACCTCTCAGTCCTGGGATGATGCTCAATCCACAGAGCCACACTGGCAGGTGGCAAAGCCCTTCTTTAAAAGCTGCCTGAATGATGGTCAGGGCAAGCAAGCAAGCAAGCAAGAAAGAAAGAAAGGCCTTGTCCCCAAATCTCTTCTACCTCCCTGATGTTACAGAATAACACAGAGTCATTCTTTTGACCTAAGATACTGTCTTCTGCTCAGTGAGAACACCATGAAATAATAACATGGTTTAGCCCTGGCCGGTTTGGCTCAGCGGTTAGAGCGTTGGCCCACTGACCAGAGAGTCCTAGGTTCAATTCCTTCTAAGGGCACGTACCTCAGTTGCAGTTTGTCCCTGGCCCCAGTTGAGGTTATGTGGGTGGCAACCAGTCGATGTGTCTCTCTCACATGGATGTTTCTCTCTCTCTCTTGCCCCCTCTCTCCCTCCCACTCTATCTGAAGATAAACACAAAAATGTACTCAGGTGAGGATTAAAAAATAAATAAATAAAATAAAATAACATGGTTTAACCTTAATGGAAATAACGTCATAGGATCTTTTGGGGGACCTGGGTTGGTAAAGGCATTTTGGCGTAGGGCTACTGAGTGGGAAGTTGGGTTAGAAAGAAGAGAATGGGTTTATGCAACATGGAGCCTCTCCTACTTCACAATTTTGTCACAGGTTAATCCTAAAATTAATTTGAGAAACATGTCAGTGATTTGTTTAATTGAGTCTTTTTATTTATTAGTTTTCAAATGAAGTAATATATGCTTACTGAAAATTCTGGTAATACAGAAAGATATATGGTGAAAAGCTAATTACCCTCCTCACCCCATTAACTACCATTAATGATTAAAAATTTTTCTTTGAGTAGTAACAACCATTAGTGATTCAGAAATTTTCTTTGCATATATGAGAACGTGTTAATGAGTTTAAAAATATATATTCTCACTTAGAATAGTCACTGGGGTCTCACCAACTGTGTGATATTTGGAAGTTGATTAACCTCTCTGAATCTCAGTTTCTTCATCTATAATATAAGGGTAGTAGTAATCTGGATTACAATAACATAAGCTTATATGAATATACCCAGTGTAGCTCCTGGTACAGAGTAGGAACTTTCTTATTTTATGTTTCCATGCCTTTTTTTAAAATTGCATTTATTGGGGTGACATTGGTTCACCAAACCATACAGGTATACAACTCAATAAAGCATCATCTGCACACTGCATCGTGTGCCCACCTCTCCAAAGTCTCTTGCCATCCCCATTTCCCCCCCTTTGCCCGCCTCCACCTACCCCCTGACCCTCCGTTCTCTCTGGCTGTCACCACACTGTTGTTTGTGTCTATATGTTATGTATATATGTTTTTTGGTTAATCCCTTCACCTTCTTTCATCCAGTCCTCCATCCCCCCTCCCTGCTGACAGCTGTCAGTCTTTTCCATGTATCCTTTTTAAACTAAAGCATGGCTATCTTTTAATATTGGAACAAATATGCTACATTGTTACAGATAGGAGATTCTGACACAATAATGGGAGGGTCATTAGAGGAAGCAGTATTTTTTTTACATGTTGGCATATTGACCAACTCACATACTTAAACTTCTTTCCTACTGAGTTGATACACAAAGTTAGAAACTTCAGATTTATTAGATCAGATCAGGGTTTCTCATCTTGGCATTATTTGCATTTTTGCCCTGGTAAATCACTGTCCTGGGGGCACTAATTTGGACTCTATTCATTAGATGTCAGCAGCAACCCCCTTTTTGTGACAACCAATGTGTCTCCAGACATTGCCAAATGTCCTCTACTGGGGGAGGGAAGACAACATTACCCCTAGTTGAAAACCATTGGGCTAAATAAAATATATTTAGAATTAATACATTTCAGAAACTACATTCCACTAAAATATATTTTATTTAAATAGCCATACTATGGTTAAATTGTGAAAAATAATTTGCCTTTGATTCATGTCATGAATGAAATAATTCTTTAAAAAAAATGCACAATTCTTTCTTTGGAATATTAACATAGAGACGATTTAAAATAGAATGTGTACATTGGCCATCTCCTTCTGAAGGGGACGAGAAGCACCTTCAGTCCGCCTGCAGCGCCCGGCCCTGCAGTGACGCCCGACGCACTGCGCAGGCTCAGCGTGCAGATCCACGTGCTCCGAGCCGAGCAGCGAGCCGGCCGGGACGCACCCTGCTTCCAGCGCGCATCTCTGTCTGTCCGACACTGTGACCTGAGATTATTCCATCTGTATCATCAACTGGGGTTGAAGTTCAAAGTTAAAACACAATTAACCTCAAACACAGGTCAATTTTAAGTATTTCTCACCGACTTTTCTTAATTCGTTTTGGAGGAAGATGAAATAAGGTTCTGAAATAATAACAACTTACTTCGCATTGGAAGATAAGGGAGATGAGAGGTTAGGTTTAAGTCAAATCCAAACCTGACCTAAAACATATCACACTGAATATAACTGAGCCTCTGAGAGAAAGCAGCAAAGCGGTCTCTACAGAACCAGAAAACCCTAGTGTCCCAGTTAAGGGGAGTTGTCTCAGTAGATGGCTTTACTGGATGGGTTTGGAGCACTGGAAAAGTCCATTATATTCAGGGGTGTGTTCACAAGCTCTGCTTAACATGCGTCTCCCTCTCCAGTAGTGTCCGCCACTCTTTTGAACATACAGTATGTATGTTTGTAGGCTTTGTTTAGTTTCTAGAGTCGGTATCTATTCTTGCCTATCAGGTTAGTCACAGCCAGAAGAATAAACTTAGAGCAACATTAAAGGACTCCTGTGATGGTAGCTTTGGCATTTTTATAATCAAAATGTCCATCTTAATTTTATGAGATTCCGTAGGACCCTACTTTGTCTTCTGAGGATCAGATCTTCTGAGGTCAAAAAGATAAATATATAATG